ATTAGACGGATTCATGTTGAAATATTTCACTGGAAAAGTTTTTGACCTGGTGGTGGTGATGAACATCCATTCAGTAGCTAAAACGTATGCAGGCTACCACGTCACAGTGCAAGGTTATTTGTGTGTGTTTGTGGTGAGCTGAGAAGCTGTGTGGTGTTCAGCTGTTTGACATCTTAACCATTCAGTCATTTTGGTTTGAAATTAGAAATAATTTCACCCACTTTAAAAATATGACTGAGATACATTTTAAAATGTGAGCGGTGCAGAAGCTGTTGTTGCCTCACAGTTTATCCCAAGAGGCAGAAATGTTTGTTAGTTTGATTAAAGCCTATCAAGTCAGACCATTAAAAGTCTTCTGTCAAAGCTTTGGTGAAAACTGTGTAAACTGTGATGAATAATTCAAAGACAACGATCATTTTACTTGAGATTAGCTTGCCTGGTTGCCATGGAGGAAATGCATGTATTATTTACTGCCTGTGTGAGTGTGACTGTAAGGCAGCTTACAGACGCTCAGTCGTTTTTAGATCTGTTCCAGCAGCCAGGATTAAACCTGCTAGTAATCCATGGGAAACAAAATAGAGTGTCTGAGCTGCATGTTTACCTCTGAATGAGAGACAGGGAGCCGTGGTGTTGCGTGGACCATGTAATGTAGCAGAGGGCTCGCAATGGAGGGGACAATGCTGACGGAGGGGCAGGAGAAGCCACAGAAGCGGGTGAGGTTCCGAGTGGCTTCTGGGAACAGCGGACGGGTGCTGAAGGAGATGTTCAAGGATGAGGGGCCTTCGGACTCCCTGGAGTCAGACTGCACCAGCAGCTCTGACGCTGACAGAGCCAGTACCCCATCCACAAGTGGAGACTCGCAGGGACACCTGTATGGATACATGGGCTCGGAGCTGGACGACAGCGAGAGCGAGCCCGATGACCTGCTCATGTATGCGGGGGCCACCAAGGACTGGTCGTTCACCACCAAGAGGGTCAACATACTCAGTAAAAATGGGACTGTGAGGGGGGTCAAGCACAAAGTCAGCGCAGGTCAGACGCTGTTTGAAAACCTTCCCAATTGCAGCAGTGTAAGTAGACCACATCCGACTGGAACTCATCTGATTAAAAATATCCTGTTTCATAAACCACATCTTTTCTTTTTAGCTCCAGTTCCCATCAGTACGAGTCCCTGTCCTCAAGTCTAGTTACAGGTATGAGCTCCACGTAGGTGTATGACCAGGATAAAGCTCACAATAGAGGACAAGGTCGCAGAGCAATTAAAGATTGATGATGCATTTCGTTAAGTGTTTCAAGAGAAACTAATCAGGTTAATGAATTCTCTGCACTTCGCTTTCTAGTGTCTGTGCACAAAGAACTGTTTGTTATTCTGATGTAAGTCTTGGTCGTCTCGTACGCTGATTCAGAGGTGATGCAGAAGGTCGAATGGAAGAAACTGTTTCTCTGCTGTGTGATGTTAGGAGGAATTAGTTCAGAGCAGATAAAGCTCTGAGTCGTGATTAAGTGAGATTATCTTTAAGGGTGAAGTTTAAATGCTTATCAAGGTGAAGTGGTGTGATCCGCTCCTGAAGGAACATCAGAGTGTTTCTTGCTGCTGTTTTTTTGTTTTAAAAATCATTGAGTTTTATTGTCAGCAGTTGTGATATAAAACATGAAAACATTTTTTTGTAGCTACTTTGACCGGTCCAGCTACAGCATCTCTCTTTTTTAAAGATATTTTTGGGCATAAATTGATAGAGCAAATTTAATCGTGGAAGTGGGAGAGAGAGTGGGGAAGACATGCAGTGAAAGGCACAGTCGGAACAGCTCCAAGAGAACTGAAGCCCAATAGCTCACCTGTTTGAGTGGGCGCACCAACCTACAATATCTGAAATCATTTTCCAGCCTCTGCACAGTGAATTGATTTCTAAACTCCACTAAAGTAAATGCAGATCAAAGGAAGCTGCCTGCAGGTGATGATGAACACATTTAAAGTCTTAAAATCAGTGCTCTACTTTTCTGAGGCGTTACTTCCTGTAGCACCACTTTTCTAAAAGGTTTATAAGTCAAAACCCTGTAATAGTCCCACAAACGCAGGCTTGAGAATGGTGTTAATGTATTTGTGATGTCAGTTGTTGGAATCTTTATTTCATTTTGAGCCCGTCCTGAGTCATCTGTGATCTCGAGTTCAAGTCTGAGTGCAGCCAGATGAGTCCTGAATGCATCTCAGACCACATTCAGAGGTGTTCTGGGAATAATGTGACCACATTATTTTTGCTGTGTGAAGGCAAATGCATCCTGGGCCACAAATACAGAACAGCTGACTCAGCTGATGACCTCTGACCTTCTACAGTGTCACAGTGAATCAATCATTGTTTTTTATACCATACCTTAATTTGTTTGTATCAACACTGATCACCACATAATGAATTCTTGACACATTTGTACAAGATTATAGCCTCATCATAACTGTATTCAAACTGATTCAACAACAGGAAGCATTTCATTTTCGCCTTGTCCAAGAAAATCCATGATCAGAATCGATACCACATACAACTTCTACTTCACAAAGTGTTTTTTATCAAATTTTTTTATCTTCATCTTACGTCTGCCTAGAAAACATCATCTTTCCACGTCCCTGAGGGTCACGTTAAATGTGCAGATATTAAAGTAAACCTTGTGTTTCCTCCCTTGTAGTTGGAGATGTTGCTTGAGTTTGGGCGGATTGTCATCTACACGACCAGTTTCCGTGTGGTGAGGACGACCTTCGAGCGCTGCGAGCTGGTCAGAAAGATTTTCCAGAACCACAGGGTAAGGTTTGTGGAGAAGAACATCGCTCTGAACAGCGAGTATGGGAAGGAGTTGGAGGAGCGGTGCAAACGTGTGGGAGAACCTCCTTCATTACCAGTTGTGTTCATTGATGGACACTACCTAGGGGTCAGTACTTCTTCCTCATGATATCTGATATCGATATTCTGTAAATCCCACACTGAGTTTATTAGATATTGAATCTTTGCATTTCTTGTTCTGCAGGGTGCTGAGAAAATCCTCGGTATGAATGAATCAGGAGAGCTTCAAGATCTTCTGACCAAAATCGAGGTTGGTTTTCACTGTTTGCTTTGAAAATCTCACTTTGAATTATTGATGAAAATGTACGATTTTCCTGTAAATCGACCGTTTGGTTTGAACATGCTGACGATGAATCATTCCTCGATTAGATTTACTGAACAATGTCGTGTTTGCTCTGCAGCACATGTAATATTAAAGTAAAGGTGATTATAGAGTCAAGATAATAAATCAACACTCTGTGTTTGTCCAAATCCATTTAGATGAACACATGCAAACAGGAGCAGTCATTCCCCATCACAAGCTGTGTCATCAATAAAACATGAGCAATGTTAAAGATGCATGCACATCAATAAGTGACCATCAGTAATGGAGGGCTTGTTATTGATTGTGCCTCCAACACATTTGTTCAAACACACAAACAGACACGGAGCACATCGCTCTGAGCTGCAAACAGAGATTGTGCAAATCTATTTTTCACGTTGAGCTGCAGAAGCAACGTCGCTCACGCAGCCACTGGCCTTTTCTCAGGCTTTAGCTTCAATTTGGAGTTTTGACCCAATCTTCATACTAAGTGAGAGCAATGTGATGACATTTACATCTTAACTCCCCGTCACTGCAGGCTGTTACTGAAGATTGCCGCTCTGAAAGGTCACGCATTCACTAATTAGTCCAGAGCCAGCCACTTGATGTTATTGTGTGTACAGTAGATATCTGCATTTATACACCAAAATAACATTTTGACATTTTGTAAAATATGATTATTGACAGTGGTCGGATGAGAAAAATGATATCACTCTTCTCTCTACTAAATATGAAGCTACAGACAGGGGATGGTTAGCTTAGCTTAGCACAAAGTTATATTTGATGACTTGTTTGTTTAATCTACACAAAATGTGTGTGGCTCATGTCCCATCCACTAACATGGAGGAGGAGGGACTTATACTGCAGCTAGCCTCAAGGTGGCGATCAAGATGCTTAGCTTCACTTTGGGGAGCTGTCATCCATTAAGTGTATGGTTAAAAGTTCATCTTATATAGATGTAACTGGCAGCCATTTTACCACATTTGTTGACATTTCCAGATGATGCGTCAGATGTCTCATATTAAGTGTTTTTTTTTTGTTCCACTTCCTTACAGAGGGTACAGCATCCCCAGACGTGCCAGACCTGTGGGGGCTATGCCTTCATCCCATGCCCAACGTGCCATGGCAGCAAGATGTCCATATTTCGCAACTGCTTCACGGATTCCTTCAAAGCCCTCAAGTGCACTTCCTGCAACGAGAACGGTCTGCAGCCGTGTGTGAGCTGCAGCCGGTGAGGACGTAACGTGCCTGACCCTACGTCCTCGCTCACTTCTCTGGGACCTGAGAGAGGACCCTGAACTGGACTGAAACACAGGCAGTGACATGAAACACAGCAGGTCTCTTCTTCCATGGCCATCATCAAACAAACAAGGAATTTGTAATAAAATCTGTGAATTTGGTGTTGTTGTTGTTGTATTGAAAATCCTTGTTGTTCCCATATTTCTTTATCATATGTAAAACAAATTACATCAGGTTTCTTCCATTGGATTCAAATTCTCTCCCAAAAAGTTTCTGTCTGGGTCTTGAGACACCAATGAACTAGTTTCACCTCAGGCAAATTTCAGCTTGTTAGTTAATTAGACAGGAGGCTTCTTCATTAACAACGCTCTCATTACTAATCCCATATCAGACAGAGTTAAGACAACGGACACTCAGGACAGAGAGGGAAAGTCAAGGGCTCAATTTGCAGCCAGCACAAACTGAAACTGGAGCTTTGTCACAGTGGATCATTCAAACCGAACATGAAATGTAACAGTTACACACACTTAAATTCAAATAAATAAAGGGACTCAAACGTTTTAATAGTACTTTATATATTTTTGCTCTTTCAACAAACATACATCATAGTAAATGATTTATTTACAGACCCA